TATATAATTTATATAATGTAATACATTATTAACTTTGGTATTATTAAACCACACACTTATATTTGGTTAACAAACTGATAAAGAACGTTTTATTCACACTCCAAGAATTTTTTTTTCTATTTTATTCAAAATGATAATTTATTATGGGGATTTCGAGAGCATAATTACAATGTGAGGGAAGATGAGAGTAAAAATATACACACATAATTTGGCTTTGAACAAAGAGAGAAACAACACAGTGAATTCATTTCATTTTATTTAAACAAAATTTTTGCCTGTTTATGTGTGCTCACATGATGCTTATATATATAAATAAAGTGCTATTTTTGTTTTTGTTATTATAGCTGAATTAAATATAAAATAGCCTAGACTCGAAAATTATCAGTAAAATGGAGATGATTGAAACGAAGCTTGTACAAACTTTAGAAAAAAAAAAATTAGATACTGTGTTAGTTTACAAATAGTTTAAAGGATCCACAAGAAAGGTTTTTATTAAATATTCGGAATGTGGAATGTGTATAGTATGGATCATGTAAAATAGATAATTATTTTCTCGAAGTACATAATAGATTGAGTTCAGACCACCTTAGGGCGTCTTTTTGGCATTCACTTTTTTCTTGAGTTTCAATATTAATTTACCTGTGTTACGGGATTTTCCCCGGGGCGATAGACGACGTTGTGTAGTGGTCGTTTACGTCCCACATAATTAACACAGACGAACTCCAGTAAAGAGGCGTAAATAAAGCACATGCAAACGCCATCCCATACATTCATCGCCGTCAAATTTGACACAACGGGCAAGGTGCTGCGGAAACCATTCGAGGTAGTAAAGAAATTCAACATTGTTGTCACGCCTAGTTTGTGTTGGTAAAAAAATTTGGGTAAAAGATAATTAAAAAAGAATAAGAAGAGCAAGAAATTTCCATTAGATTTTTTAAAATATTTTTTTGTTAGCTGTCTATGTTTTAGCGGTCTATGTATTTTCTTTGGTTACTACCATTTTTTATTAATAGTATATATGAGAGCGAATATTCAAATTTAATTGCATGGCATATTGTGGATATATGTATGTATAGCGTGTTAAATATCAATTACGAAAATATTGAATATTTATATGATATCTTTACTCAATAAAATAAAAATAAATAGTACATTCTGTTTTAAAAAAAATGTAGGGAATCAACTAGCAACATTATATATGTATAACAACTTTTCTGCTAGAATCACAAAAAGACACACTGAAATTTATTTCCTAATGCATTTTAGTGTGCCTTCGAAAGTGTCCGTGGTGATTATAGATACTTACCTTATATACGGATCGAGAAGCCATAATACTTTATTTTACTTACGTATATAAACGCATGCATTATTTGATTTTCGATCGTGACTAGATTGAATAATATACATACAAAATCATGTTTATTTTTATTAGTTTGCTGTTTTGGTTACTCTTCTTCGTCTATTTAACTGTATACCCAATAAATTATATTATATTCTTGGTCAGGACTACGAGCCGAGTTGATCTAGTCATGTCCGTCTGTCCGTATAAACGCCAAGATCTCAGAAGGTATAAGAGCAAAACTCTTAAGACTTTATATTAATTATTATTTTTTCGGTAACTCATGCCATTTCTTTGTTATCGCAATATAATAAATTGATTGTAATTAGAGACATTAGATTAGATTACAGAGAATACAAAAATTTTGTAATTTATAGATTTTTGATAACACGCCCCTTGCGCTCTAATTTTTAATTCAAAATATTTCATGTACTAGAGACTAGTGCTTTATATTATGCTGTATGTATTCAACAAATGAGTTCATACAATACACTTCAGCGCAAGCTCAGTCGGTGTTAAGTGTGCAGTTATGCAGTTAGCAGTATATGTATATGTATGTACAAAAGAATGCATACAAGAACCGTAGAATGATAAGAATAAAAGATCTTTGCAGGACTATATGTAAAATGATATTTTCTTCAAAATATTGTGCATTATATATACTTAAGTGCATAAAATGGTGGTATTTCATACAATGCATCTCCAACTAGGACTTTTGTTTAGTCTTAGGAACATAATTAAAAATTCAAGTCTCTTACTTAAGGATTAACAGTTTAAATCAAATAATATTGTATGCTTGTCAATAAAAATTTGGATTCAAAATATTTTTAATCTACCCAAGCATCCAAATAATGGTATATTCTAATAAAAATGAAAAGACGATTAGTACGGGTCAACAAAAAATATATTCATATATTGGCGGTCTAACACGCCTTCATGACTGCTGCATGCTTACAAAGGGTAAGCATGCAAAGTATGGCTTGTACTGTGGCTAATGCAATAAATACTAAAAGTGCAAGGATAAAATGTACATTAACTAGAAAACATGAAAATATTTACTTTGTTCCCAATTCTAAGCCCCTAGGTCTAATATCTTATAATGAATTCTTCGAATACTTTGAATATATCACAAGCCCTTTTATACACTCTTGGTTAAGGAAAAGTTCCGTTATTTATTATTACTTGCTAGATTTTCACTGTCTAAAATGCCATAAAACTAATAATCGGAGAGATATGACATAATTGCTTTTTTTTTATATGAGTTTCTGATATAATTTTAATTTGGTTGAACTGTAAATTGACTTGTGTTTTTTCCTTTGCATTAAACATTTGGTATTTGTTTTACGTACCGATCATAACCCGTGCTGGTACTGCATTCCACTCTAGCCAAAATGTGATAAACGACGAGGTGACCAATATAATGCCAGGTATAAAAACGGTTGTAAAATAATATGCACGATCACGGGTAAATGTCATTTCGACTTGCAGGCAACTGTAATTTCCTTAAAGTACAATGCCAAAATCATTGAATTTGGGCCACATAATAAAAATTATACGCAATATAAGTCTATTGATGCAGACGAATCAAAAACCAGAGGCAGAGCCACAGTCAGTATATATACAGATTTATCTCCTATCTAAGCTCTAAATATTTTCATTTTAAGTTGTATTTCCATAGAAAACAAAAATTACTAAAAACAAAATAAAAATAAATATTTATCTAAGCTTTTTGATTGATTCAGTTTTGGTTGGTTGGCTTTGTATAGAAGCCATTGCTATGAATTATACGCATATATATAATTTAGAAACCATGCTCAAAATCCATAAAGCCATATTTTGTTAAGAGGAAGTGTCGGATATTTTTTTGCAATATTAAAGTTTGAAGTAAATGCTGTTAAATAAATATTTTTTTTTTTTAAAGTTGTGTCTTTAAATGCGAACTACTTTAAAAAGCAGGTAGGCAATTTACAAGTTGTCGCCTAATAAAATTTAAATTATGATTATAAATTGCATATGCAAAGGACAGAAGAATTGTTGTAAGTCTATCGCTACAAATGCGAAAAAATTGAAACTATTAAAATTTGTTTACCTTTTTTTTGTGAAAAAGCAAGGTCAAATTTATATAAAGCAAATATGTTTTTGGTAGTTTTTTTAAACTTTGTTTTGGTAAATTTTTAAACTGGTACTTTATTATATACTATTCGTTACCTATCATTGATCTAGCAGGCACTGCATTCCATTCTAGCCAGAAAGTTATAAAAGATGACGTCACCAATATAATGCCAGGTATAAAAACGGTGGTAAAATAGAACGCACGATCTCTCGTAAAGATTAAATCGACCCTAAGGCAGCTGTAGTTCCCTATTTAATTTTTGATAACATGTATGTACGTTGTTAATGATTTTTTAGTAGTAAGAGGCAGCACAAATATTTGTGTAAAAGATATATTTTATTTTATTTTATTTTAATTA